CAGAGCTTTACAAACTCCTCGAGAGCGTAACCAGGAGGCTATCGGTGTAAATATTGGCTCATGCTGCCCGGAAATTCTAGGGGAAACTAATTTGCCTATCTTCGTTTACGGTTGTCTCGACACGAAATAATCGCGCTGCTCTGGCTGGGCTATATGCAGCTGGGTAGGAACAACTGAGACATCTGGCAGACACCAGTAAATGTCCCCTCGTCCTTCGATATTGCGGCCAGTACGCACAAAATAACCCTCCCTACTGCTTCCAAATGTCATTATGCTCTGACACGTAGGAATCAAATACTGCTCTCGCACTGTGCACTCTTCCACCGGAGCCCAGTATGACCTATGCACATCTCCACTTTTATGTGACATCTCGAGCCAGGCACCAATGATGATACTACCAAGCTAGTACTGGCTTGACGACCTGAAATGGAGTGAGAAATGACCAGATCAGAGCTAAAAAGGATTCTTACCTTTCCCGATTTCATATCCTTAATGGCTTGCTCTATTTCCGTTGATGGGTATGTCTTGGATAGGCTGCTGATGGGAAATGACCCCTCCTTGAACATTTTGACGAGGCGAGGTATAAGCTGTTTCAGAGTCAATAAACCACATTTTGCGGATGAAAAGTGCAAGCTCACCTCTTGAGGGTTGGCATAAGCGCCTGTAATTCCGATAATCTTCTTGCAGTGGATGAGCATATCCATCGCTTCAGCACTGAGGCACTCCCTTGGCGGAGGCGTGCCGACAATGGCGAGCGTTCCCCGTTGTGCGAGTGCTTTGATACCACTGTTGATCGCGCTGATCAGACCGGTAGTATCGACTATATAGTCAACACCGTGCGTAGACGCTTCTCGAATTGCAGCTTCAATATCCCTGTACTTCCTTCCGTCCAGAGCGTGTGTAGCCCCTAGACATTTCGCTAATTCCAACCGTGAATCAACAATATCGATTGCTACGATTTCAGCAACGTTGAGGCTTTTGGCTGCCATGAGAGCACAAAGCCCCACTGCACCAAGCCCCAAGATAGCGATGCTGCTGCTCGACTGTGGCTTCAAAACATCCATGACCGTTCCAGCACCCGTCATAAACCCGCAGCCTAGAGGAGCCAAAAATGATAGGTCTTCAACCGGCCCTGGATATTTGACCACAGTTCTGGCATCGCAGACTGCAAGCTTGGAAAATGACGACTGGCCAAACACTGGACCTCTTACGAAGTCACCGTTAGGACGGCGAATTGAAGTATCGTCAAGGCCTCTTGTGCCTCCAAAATTGGTAAGGGCGATGTTGGCGCAAGCTCCCTTGCTCCCTTTGCGACATGCTGAGCAACTCATGCAAGAGGCGAAACCCAGTATCACCCGGTCACCCTCTCTGAGCCCCGAACCTTCGAGGCCGCCGCCCAGCCTGAGAATAATGCCAGCGCCTTCATGGCCAGCGACCACCGGGAAACCGCCAATGGGCATTTTCCCCTGCTGTATAACAAGGTCCTGGAAAGCTTTGAATGAGTCGCAGCCGTTCCATTTTCTTCAACAAGTGATTCTCACAGTGTGGCATATTCCTGAGTATTTGATTTCCACAAGAAGCTCATTCTCTCGTACTTCATCCAGGACAACATCTTCAAGGATGAAAGGTGCGTTAGGCTTGTCAACAACAAGTGCTTTAGTAGGGATGTTTTTGCTGGGTAAAGATTCCATGGCTGTTTTTGATTCTTGATCTTAGAAGGATTGACGGGAATGTGAACCTTTGGAAGAAGTCGTGAGTTTGATATTCCAAAGTGAAAATGCCAGAAAGCCTTTCCCGAAGAGGTGGACACTCTGTGCTGAGGCTCGGATCCTGGGAAGCCTCTTCACAGGCTTGAATGCAAGCTAAGATCTCATTTGTCACCGGCAAACACCATAACTTGCTTCGTCTCGGAACAAGCTGCGGAATCGAACCAGAGAGCCTGGACTCCGGGGTACATTAAGATCAAGCGAATTGGATCCCCTTCCCGGAGATTCGGTGCGACAGTTCAGCCAAGCTTCTCCATTTTTGCTCATTCGCTCCGAGGCCCCGGAGTTCCGCGGTTTGTGAAAGAATTGAGCGAGTTCGCAACTTGGATTCGTGTAGAGCTGGGCTTTCTCACGTTCTGCTCCTACTCAATTACTGTCAAGACGTGAAAGTCCTCTTTTGCTTGATACAGATTGGCATTGACAGTGTCAACGACACGATTGCCTTGATGGGGACTTTCAGATCTCTCTGCTAGTCCATCCTTACAGAGGGAATATCTTGGGGGAAGGGAAGATGGCATTGTTAGAGGAAAGCGATCATCGGAAGCCAACATGGGTTGAATGATATGAACATTTGATTCCTCTGTAACTGGCTCCTCACGCTCTCGCCGGCTCTACAACGAGATGAATACGCTCTTCAGCTCGGTCCAATAGTCAGTACAATACTTAGACAACTCCCGTCCATCACCACTCTGTTTCCACCCACCAAACGGCAAATCGACTGCCATGGTCGGCGACGAGCAGTTAACACCCACACTGCCCGCCTCGAGCGCCTTGGCCACTCTCAATGCCCGTGAGATGTCCTTCGTAAAGACACTGGCGTATAGACCGAACTCGGTATCATTCGCACGTTGAAGAACTTCTCCCTCATCGGAAAAGGTGTTGACACACACAACAGGTCCGAAGATCTCTTCCTTCATAACCTTGGAGTTCTCTGGGGCGTTAGAGATAATGGTAGCCTCGACAAAATATCCTGTCGTACCTTGGCGGCCACCACCTAAGGGTACAGTCAACTTCTTTTCTCTCGCGTAGTCGAGATAGGACATCACGCGATCGAATTGTGCCTTGTCGACCTGTGGCCCACGTCCTGTCCCCGCTATGAGTGGGTCCGCAGCTGGGAAGAGTTCTGCCATAGCAGCCTTCATATTCTCAGTAAACTGCGTAGCGATAGACTCGTGTACGTATATCCGCGAGCTGGCGATACAAGACTGCCCACTGTTCAACAGGATACTCATTGTGGCAGCAGGGACGGCTTTAGCCAAGTCTGCATCCTCAAACACGATGAGGGGAGACTTCCCCCCGAGCTCGAGCGTAACTTTCTTCAGGTTCGACTCTGCGGCAGCCTTTTTGATAGCGCGTCCTGCAACAACGCTGCCCGTAAAGCTCACCTTACGAATGTCCATATGCTTTGCGATAGCCTCGCCGCAGGGACGGCCGTAGCCAGATAAGATATTGAGGACGCCTTTAGGCAGACCGATCTCTTGGGCTAGGCGGCCGATGACGAGAGAAGAGAGAGGCGATTTCTCGGATGACTTCAATACTAACGTATTGCCAGTGGCCAGCGCTGGGCCGACCTTATTGATCAGCATAAGTAGCGGAACATTCCAAGGAGTAATAGCGCCGCAGACTCCAAACGGTTGTCGTAACGTTAAGTTCACAAAATCCTTGGTGTTGAGGCTTGAGTCACCCGTCACGTCGAGTGCTTTCCCCGAGAAGTACCGCAGGTTATATACTGAGAGTTTGATGGAGACTGACATGAGTGAGGATGTTAGCGGTGAATTACAACAGATCAGGGGGCAATGAAAGTGGAAAGCTTACAATCGTCGACATATGGCTTGCCCATAGTAATAGCCTCGAGATATGCAAGCTCATCGGCGTTCGCTTCGATAGCATCGGCGAGCCGATTCAGATAGCGGGTCCGCTCAGCTGCGGATAGGGTAGACCAGGCCGGGAATGCTTCCTTCGCAGCCTTAACGGCAAGGTCGACATCTTCAACGTCGGCTTCGTAGACTGACGCGGCCAACTTTTCCGTTGTAGGGTTGTAGACGTCGAATTTCTTACCAGATATCGATGGCACGAACTCTCCGTTGATGAAGAGCCTGTCCTCAATTTGCTGGGGTTGGAACGACTTCGTGACACCGGTGTCATTGACTGTGACGGGTGCCATCTTGATCAAGTGTGACTTGCTATTGCATTCGAGGATTCCAACGTCCCCGCCGTGGAACTAGAAAGGAGGCAGAGAGCACTAGTCTTCTTATATACCGGGTGCTCGGAGGATGTGAGCGTTTCCGGAAGAAACCAGGCGGTACCACGCCTGTGTCAGAGGTTAGCCACATTCATGGAGTTGGCAACCGCGTTCTGGTTAGGACTTGTTCGATTAGATTTTTCGTTCAATGTCGATAAGGCCGGCAGTCCAACTTGAGTACACTCCGTACATGAACTGGTGAAAGATTTCTCCACGCTAAGATCAGAGGCCAAGTAGTAGCCCTTCAGATATAACATTGACCCCATATCTAGAAAGAGAATTGGTGTCATTTGGGATTGAATCAGCAGGCACGTTGGCCGCAAAATCTATTACGGGGGATCCGAAATTGACAATCCGGGATGGACAACACGGCGGGGATTGGAACTAGGGGTTCCCTCGTTCCGTGACTCTTTCCGTGGCGCGTTCCATAGCCGAGGCAAACAGAATTTCACAATCAAGCTCCTACCAAGAGAGGGGCTCCCACCACCTCACGGCCTCAAGTCCTCCGAGCTTGCGATTCGGAGCATCGATGTGATAAGAGTAACGAGCCAGTCTGGAGGTCAGGAATGGGTCGATTGAGACAGACAATTTATCAGCACCGAGTAGTGACAGAGCCTTTAAATACGAGTTAGTTGAAGCTATAGTTAGCCTAGCCTAATTAGGCTAGTGAACTAGCGCTAACAAATACTGGGTAGAATAATATATTCCGGCTGGTGGGCCTACCTCATACCCAATTGCCAGCCACCGTTGCGCCCGAAAAATCTGGTGAGACTCATCCCCGTCTTGGGGGTAGCGTTAACACCTTCACCCAAGTATCACCACGCTTTGGCAAAGGGAACAGCCGATGAAGCCATCGCAGCATGTTCGACATATTCCAGAAATAATTTTCAATTGAGTTGAAAGAGCTAGCGCGGGGCGGGTACTCTGCTTGATCTGAGTAACTGCGGTCCGTTTCCTCTTCTTCAACGCCTCATGATGGTCGGAGGCCCGTTTTATGGAGTAGAGCCGACTGCTCCAGCGACGGAAAAGGCGGATTTGACCAAGTCCAAATATACCTTGACACTAGCTGGCATCGACACGCTTGAGGCAAGCAGACAGTTCCCCACAGACGACTGAGGAAGACCTCGTCTATCCCATTCCCTCGATATCGATGAGAAGTTCGGGTATTTCTTCTCAGTGGTGCTGCAATCCAGGATCTGGATGCCTGGAATGAGCGTCTGGGCACATGGATTCTGTATCTCGCACCAGTTATAGTCCTGGCATTGGCGAACGCCGCAAAGGATGCTGTCGTCTGGTTTGTCCGCTGCGAATGCTGCGTCGGTGCAGGCATCGTAATCCTTGTTGGCAATACACATGCAAAGATCTTTGAGTGCTGAAAAGGCTTCATATTCGGCTATTGGCATGAGTGGGTTACAGACTGACGGAACGGTTGCCTCCGGCACACCAGCCTGAGGCGCCGGTCGGACCATGCCAGGCGCGAAGAGGAGAATGAGTGGAAGGATGAAATGCATCTCGGGGATGAAGAGTTGAAAGTCTTAGCAGTGTGTTCTAGGAGACGAGAGCAAGATCTTCGATATGAGAGCAACTCACCATGAACACTTCATACAGGAGCAGGATATATATCGCAATCGTGATTCCGGCCAAGTATGGCAGCTTATTCGTTGGTGGTAGATGAATCACTCAATCAAATGCGCCGTGGTGCGATCGTATGATGGAGTGACATCTTGCACAGAGGCCGCATGAATTCTGACGACATATTTCGTCTCTATCAAATACAAGTACTTGTCTGAACATATCCCGTCACCTTTCTGGTGTGACATCCCAGACTTCTAGTCCGGCTTTCCTAATTCAGACTCTTTGCATGCTTGTTTGGTTGCTCCAATGACTAGATCTGGCAGCGTGGGCATGACGGTTTTCGTCCTGGCAGAATGTGTGGCTGGCTGAAGCCAAAAGATCAGCCGATGTTTCAGCCTCGTGTTCGCTAAAGCGAACTTCTTAGCCTTCCGCTAATCGTCACGCAACACAACGAACGCTAACACTTCGGATCGTGATCGAGGCCTCACGCAATGTGTGCAGATACCAGACGAGGCGCTGGCAGCTTTCACGACAATCTAGCCTCGTAATGAGGTTCACATTTCTGTTGTCGAGGAAGAGCTATCATCCTATCCTCGATGGGCGCTTTCCCATATGCTGATAATATTTCCTTTTGCTTGGACCAGACCGTCGGACACTCCGATCTCAGATTACTCCAAGCTCGTTGCCCTACGGGCCTCACGCAATGGCTGCAGGTATCATGCAATACCTGTGACCACATGTTGTAGCTTGTAAGACGCCGACAAGGTCATCTTAACGATGTAACATGCTCGAGGGGGTAGGTTCGACGTATTCTAGGTTGGCACTCATCATGGGCTAATTCCACGCTGGGTTGAAGGGAACCTAAGCCCTGAGGGCGAATTCCAACAATATTTTGAGTTGATCAAACACGCGATTACCGACCCAGCCATTCGTACAGCGATACCACCGGCCCTTGAGACTGGAGGAGGTGAGTGAGGTTGACCTGCAATGGCTGAAAGATGAAACAAGGAGAGCAGTCCGGAAAATTATCCTCGAGAAAAAAAGGCAATGTTTCAGAGGTTATTGGCGAACTCACCTCTCCATGATGGGCCAAGCTGTAGACCTCCCTCTTTCAAGGCGTCATTGCTGTATCAACACTCGGAGCCGGTTTTCTGTTCTCCGTCATCTTCTCCACCATATCGCCACCAGACACCAGCGATCATCAGTCACCCCAAACGAGGGCATCGCAGATGCACTAGGTACATTCGAACCTGCATGACATTCAGCTGGTTCCTATTTGTTTTGGCTGTTGCGTTCGGCAGTTTCACAGCCATTGCATTGACGATCTTCCAGCGGGAGATCTTAATATGGCAGAGGGTAGTTGGCGGAGCGGCCCGAGGATAGTTATCGCGATCTTGGGGTTCATTCTGATATTGCTCCTTGTGGGTGGGTTCATCGCAAGAGCATAGGGTGTGCGTCCATATCATAAATTTTCCGGTCTGGTGTTGATCATCTGAACGGCCTTTGTCTCTTTGATGATGGATCTGGTCTCCATTTCGGGCTCACCGTCCCATTAATTACTTGGTAAGTCAAAAGCTTAAATATGACATGGTGTGACGCAGAGGGCGAAGAAAATAAATGGCATGATCAATGCATAGTACTTGGTACTATGTATGTTGACCTGTTAGAACTGTTATATCGTCAAAAGGAACCAGTTTGGAGTTTGGAGGCAGAGGATTGTAGGTGTCGTTGTCGTTGTTGTCGTTGTTTTGGTTTTTCGATCGAGGTAATTTCTCAGCATTCCAAAGCTACCATGGCCAACTTTCCATTCACAAGTTACGCTTCCTATGTTGCGGAGCTCGCCAAACTTCAGCCCGAATTCCGTTGGCTCTCATGTTTCTTTTCCCATCCTGGCGGGCATCCTGCAGAAACCCAAGTTTTCATACTTGACAGCGCTGGATCCCAGCTAGATAAGAGAGAACTCCAGTACAAGTTGAAATCAGACATTGCAGTGGCTCTAACCGACCGTCCGGACCAAGTAACGACAAGAGTCGTTATAGTGAGATATATACAAACATGGTCGATCGATCGCAAAGTTGTTGAAGCTCTAGGAGAGCACTTTGACCTGAAGCCTATCTTTTTTTGGCAAGTTTTTGACCATTACTATGCAAAAAACGACAGGTTACGACCGCCCGATATGGCTGATAGACACCAAACGGGCACATTGTGGACCTTTCCTGTACCAAGTGAGCAAAAATCTTTGGAGGCTTGCTTTGTCGATGCCAGCCTGAACGCCACATTCGTCGCTTGCCACACTCAAGGCGATCAGATCAATGCCCCTCGGAACACCGGTGAGTATGGATCGAGGTATCTATCCTATTTTCTTCTAACCTGTATCTAGTTATCATCTTTTTGCGAGATCCCATGCTGTGTCAGTCTGCGGTAGACATAGAAGGATGCCCGTCGCCATTTCAGCTGGCACACGCTCTGAGCACGTCAGAGACGGCAGAGTTCACTCAGAAAACACTAGGCACCCGGTATCTCGCACAGCTTGAACGTTTGCCCCCAGAGACAATCAGCTCTGCGAATTGCAACCCCGTTGAGTTCACCTACCCTTACCTCCACTTGCTCGCAGTTGAAGTTTTCTATCGAATCCAACACCAGAGCTTCGTCCTTGAGGCGGAGTATTATGAGGGTGCAAGCGCCAAAGCCCAAACAAGAATCCTCGAAGAGAGCTGGGCAATCTTTCACGACATACGGCTTTATATGCGGAATACTCGAAGCACCATGACTCGATTTCTAGACCCAAAGTCCCCATCCGCAGACGCACTACTTCAGGATTACAAACATCTCGTCGGGCAGCTTGACCTAGTCCAGAGTGATTTGAAAAGTTACGTCGAACGTCATTTGAACACACTTGCTCTGGAAGACTCTAAGCAGAGTTTTGAGCAAGCAACTGCCGTTAACCGCTTGACGGTATTAGCCTTTGCCTTTGTCCCGCTTAGCTTTATAGCCACTGTTTTTGGCATCATAGGTACCGGGACGACAAAGCTTTGGATCTTTGCTGTGGCAGCACTTATTTGCGAAATCATGGTCCTCACGATTCTTGTGTGCGCGCTCAGATGGAAAGATGGGTCAAGGGCCTGGCTTATGGAGACAAGCGGTGGCCCAGGGCTTTTCCGCTGTTTCTCATCATTGGCCAAAGTCTCTCTGAAAGAAGCCTTTGTTCTTCTCGCCTTTGCCGCAGTGAACAAGCCTGAACATACAAGGTTCTTTTGTCAAGCAGTCCGCAGGGACATTCTCGGAGAATGGAAGGAACGTGATGAAAACGACTATCCAAACCCACCTCCGAGATCTGAACTTTCACTGCCACCAGACCTACCACATAGATATATGTGGGAAAAACGAGCGCAAAAAATAAATTCGCTTATGGTGAATTCTAACAAAATGAAGAAGGATGATCTCGGGACTTTACACATCGCCATATAGAACGGCAGATCGAGAGCCAAAACACATGGGGGCCCGGGCCACATTGGAGGAGCCATGTCAGAAGGATGGACTTTCCAGGACCACAGGCCGCGAGTGCGTTTCCTAAATTTCGGTTGGTGGATGAAAACGTGGCTTGCATGAGGAGAGTTTCTAGTGTCCAATAGGAGAGCTGTTACGTGTTGGAAATCACTGCTCAATCTGCCACCCCGGTGCGTTGGCCTTCGCAAGCTGGTGCGGCTGAAATCGGCCAACTGTGTGCATTCGTCCTTTGGAAACCTGGAAGCAAAATCTTCACCGAATAGGTAGATGACTGCTCTGTTAGGTAGACTGTGGTATTGCAAGACTATTCGGCAAAACGGTATCACCCTGGACCCATGGTGCTGGCACAACTCTGACAACAAGCGGTTTCGAGTTGGCCTAGATCTTCCAACCCAGCCTTCCTCCCTCAGCTAACTGCACTTGCAAACATGTCAATGTTCAAATATGAGCCGATTTCCAGAGATGTCCCCAGTATACGTCTGCTCAGGCTGCTCAGGGGCCCTGCCGAGATACACCCTTGGGACAGCAGCGGGATCAAGTGCGAGTTTGAGTTGACACATCTCGACGACGATCGGGATGTCCAGTACGACGCGATATCGTATGCCTGGGGCGATGATGAGAGGACACAGACGATCCAATTGTCTGGAAAGCCCTTCATGGTCTCGAAAATCGTCGAGGATATCCTGCTTCGGCTCCGCGTCCCAGACAGGGATCGCCTATTGTGGATCGATGCGATTTGTATCAACCAAGGTAATCTGGCAGAGAAGGATCATCAGGTCGACCGTATGCGGGATGTGTTTGCGCAGGCGCAGACGGTGATTGCTTCTCTCGGCCCACACAGAGAGGTTGACGAGTATGGACAGCCTGGAATCAGCTATAAGCTCCACAGTGCTTTGAAGCTTGTCAAGTCGTCACGGTCCACTTTTGGCAGTGCTGTGAAGCTGAAACTGTCGAGTACGGACGAGTATTGTCTCTTGCAACTATTGCAAGTGCCGTGGTTCAAACGCATCTGGGTCATTCAAGAGGTTGCCGTGGCCAAGCGGTTGCTCATCGTTTCAGGTCGAAACGAGGTCGAGGGTCATTACTTCGCTAAACTGCACAGGCGATTCCTACCGCGGGTCCAGAACAAGAAACTGCGCTCGAAGCTCGAGGAACTAGGGCCCTTGCTTGGCTTTATGGGTTCAGAGATTGACAGTGAGGCAAAATCAGAGCTGCTGGATCTCCTCCAGCACTTCCGGTCGTGGAACTCAACAAATCCTCGCGATAGGATATACGCTCTTCGAGGTCTTGCGATCGACGGTTTGGAGGTGCCAGAGTTGAAGCCCAACTATAAGCTGCCGGTACAAACCGTATACGAAAGAGTTGCAAGATACATGATCAAGAGATATGAATCTTTGGCCGTGCTCACTTACGCCGTCAAAAGGCCTCAGCCAGCCCCCGCTCAGCCAGAAGGATGGATTCCGTGGATATTGAGACAATTCCAAGGCGAGACTCCCCTCCAGCAGATTCCAGTCCACCTTACTTGGTGCCCGGACTGGAGGGACCCATACACGCTTTCGAATGATCCAGAACCCGTCTCTCGTCAACGGGCGTCGTTGCCCGCACCACGCCGACAACGCAGGTCGTCGCCAGTTCACGGATCGTCTGGATCTCCTGAGGACCCTGAACCTCTCAGGGTGAAAGGCTACGCCATAGGCGTCGTCACATCAGTCTTCGACGGCAACATCGAAGCAAGCCCGTTCCCGGCCATCAAGCAGCAGATCCCTGAATGGCCATACAACAGAATCTCCAAGCATCTCAAGGAGTTACATGCATCTTTGATAGACAGTGCAGCACGCCAACTTGAGTTCGAGTATAACATCAAGGCCCAAGAAACCACAAACCAGCTCGAGGCCCAGTGGCGCCGAAAATACGGCTGCCCCACAGATCTGCCGGTACGTATCAGAATGGAGGCAATGGAAATTAACAAGGTGCATAAATGTGAACCGCAACCTCAGGATGGCCTGATAGTCGACGACCAGCTTTGCATCCTACAAGGCAGTACCGGCCTAGCAATCCTCCGACCCGAGGGAGACAATCACTTCAGCTTGATCGTCTTGGAGCACTCGGACTATCCACGGGTCAATCTTCATCTTTTTGACAATTTGTCGGCGGGCGGATATGCTGAGAGTTCCGTTTTTGGCGAGATTGTCCACAGGCTGTCCGAGATTTCGATTCGCGATGGCTGGGGTAGGGGCGTCAATGGCACCGATGCGTTCTGCCTGGTGTGACTCTGGCAGAACAAGACCCGAGAACGAGTCAAAGGGCAAGAGGAAGGAGAAGCCAACCAGGCCTTGAAGATGCAAGCGCACGGTTTCTGCGGGCGGCGAGCACCAGCAAAGTCTATCTGCTCCTTCAGTCCTAGGTCTGATTCCCAACTGCCTTAACAAGGCATATCTCGAGAGGGGCCTGATGTCAAGGAGTGTATGATAGAAAGGCTAAAGCAGTGCAGGTCTGTAGGTCATGTCCACGCTCTCAGAGGAGCATAGTGCTCGGTGTTCAGTGTTGCAACAGCTGGGGAATTGGCCGTATGCTGACCTTATTCAATGAGGAAGAACCAAGCACCACGGGAATAGCAAAATGGAGTATCCCTTGAGGACAATGAAGTGAGCCATATCGTTTCGTATGATTCTTTTCCTCGCCCTACGGATGTAAAATGATCCATGTCTCCTCATACCTATCTTATCCAGTACCAGTAGTCATCCCTGACAGACTCATTTGTTCAAGGTGCATTCTCCTTCCCCAAGGGCGAGCATTGCGTCGCATTCGTTACTCTTCAAGGTCTCGTTCAGGCAGGTTATGCTTATACTTCTCTCCCCTACAACAAGTACGAAGTTGTATTGATTTCCCACGTTTACCTTTCCTTCGGGAGTCGCGACGGTACCCATGTCTCAACTGGGCATGAGCGGTTTGTACCTGTCCAACCTACTCGCTCCGGATCTGTCATCCTCGTCCATGAGTCCCCCGTTCGCATTCGCATCGCCGTCCTTTCTGTTCTTCGTGGGCAAAGGAGCGCTGTTACTGCTGCCTGTATCCCTCCTCGGCGGTAAGGGCGGTGCGGGAGGGTCGTTTGCATCGTGGTCGCGTTGTGTTTGCTGCTGTTGGAGTTTTGATATTCTCACCGGTGGTGGTGGAGGGGGATGATTGGCACCCTTCTGCTGGCCTCTTGCACCAGGTCCCGACGCGACAGAATCAGGGGCGCTTACGAACGAGGCTGTTGAACTAGCCGTCTCCCTGCGTTTGGGCAGCGGTGGAGGTCGCTCTTCGGCTTCAGGCGCCGTGATCGGGTCTGAACAAGACACACTCGCCAACCGCGGGAGGGCAGGGGCAGGAAACGGACTCAATTGCGGGACGGCCACTTGGCTTGACGTAGTTGTGAGAGCTGTCGGCTTCGTGGGTTTGGGAGGAGGTCGTTTCTTAGGGAATCCCGCCGCTGAGGAGGATCTTGCAGGGATGTTTACCGAATCGCCTGCCGAAGACAGAGCTGACCGTACAGGAGAGGTGGTAGCGCTTGAAGCTCTGTTCCGTGGAGCCGAACCTCCTCGTGGTGTTGGGGGGGTTGGACGTCGATGGGACTTCATCTCCGCGGCTGTTGTTGAGGGAATCGCAACTCGTTCCCCCTCCCAGGGTGGAGGCACCATTCTTTTCACTGTTCGTGGCGGCGGCGGATCCGGTTTCTTGCTTCCTGGTCTGCTTCCCGGCTTATTGTTGTCCATAATAGGAGGTCTTTCGACTTCGACCCAGTCGTCCTCCCCGCCCTCCCTCCATGGATTGCCCTCGCGGTTCCCGCTCAACATCATTCCTTCCTTTGGTGGTCGAATCGCGCTTCTTGCAGCTTTATTTCCCTCTAACCACCACTTCCTCTTGTCACTGCTGGCCGGAGGTAGACCTTCTTGAATACTCTCATATCCCATTAGACTTTCCATCACGCTGTCGCTTTCGTCATCAGTCTCAATGTCATCCAACCCTTCTGTGGAATCTCCTGCTTTGCTTTTCATTTCTTTCGCTCTCTTAGAGTATAGTTTTTTGGTCAAGGCATCCTTCTTCTCTTCATCTATCACCCTGATACCCACATCAAATATAGCATATACTGGTCTGTGATCGCTGAATCTTAAGCCCATGACACTGTCATATTCCAGTTGCTTCATTTGGGAGCCGAGTACCTCACCAGCCTGGACCGCATTTCGGTTGTGGCTGACCTTCCAAAGGATACGGTCGGTCCAAGCAGGTATGCGCTGCTTGTCACTCGAGTCAAATTCGTCTTTGCCAATATCGTATTTGTATGTCGGCAGGAACTTGACCCGTCCTTCCCGATAATAGTTGAAGCAATTTCCCACTACCATCTGGATGTTTAATTGGTCGTTTTCGTAAAGCTTTCCCAATGCTTCGTCCCTAATTTTCTCCGACCCGATCATAGCTTCAGTGACGAGGGCTTTGACTCGCTCATAGCCCAGACCGATTCGGTAGTTGAAGTCCCCCGCCCAAACGATGATCTCGTGGTCCTCAATGCTCCGGTTCCGTTGAAATCTCAGTCCAGAGGTGATTGTGTTGTAATCTCGATTGCGTTCTTCGTAATTGGCGAACCCTGCGGCCAAATGGGCGGTGACGAAACATACCGACGTGCTTTCAATATCCATTCTGATGGCGACGGCGCCTTTATTTCCAGCAATTCCGCTCATGCCGGTTTTCTTGATGGCACCCTCGACATTCTTGATTCGGCCCAGAATGCTGGAACGGACAAAGACCATCAATGCAGCTCCTACCAATTGGCCGCTCCTCAAAAGAACATATTCGTCTCCCTTCGTGGGTACCCCCTCGAATTTCTCGTCGGGGCCATGTCCATTGAGACAATTTCTGACCGCCCTTTCCCACAGCATTCGACGATTGGGGTCTGTGCTCATGATTTGCTGCGGACTCAGCTCGACTATCTCTTGGAAGCCAACCACCACAAGGTCCAGGTTCTTCCCGCGAACGTCCAGCCATGGAGTCAAGTCCTCGTGGATTCCAGTTGTTTTGCCATTCAAGTTGTATGTCCCCATGCCCAACCTGAGCTGATCCCTCGACTCAAACTCCGGTCGCCGTCTCGCAACTTCTGCGACGACCCAGTCGTTGATGGGATCGAATAGATCTACGCTCGTCTGTCCGACCAACCTGCCGAGCAATAGATCAACGGTATTCTGCCTGTTTTTGTCCTCAAAGTGATTGACATAGAGACGAGTAGCACTCTTCCGGGCATCCGCAAGAGCACCAGCAAGACTCATCTTGCCGTGCCTGGTGAATGAACTCTTCAGCGCCCCAGTCCCAGCATATATTCTCGAAAGAGCATCACCGTTGTCAGCCCACAATGCAGAATGGCGCATCCAAAAGTCAGAATTTCCTCGTTCGTCCCGATGCGACAGAAATAACTCCAGCGCCATTTGGCTGACTATGCCTTGTATAAGGTTCGTTCGATCTAAGCAGTCCAGGCAGTTGACACGAAAGATGCCGTTCTGTTGCATGATGACAATAGGTCTTTTGACAAGCTTTCTTCTGCCGTGATCGACGGCGACTTCCTCTATTTCTTCCGAGAGGAAGTAAACGAACGACTCAGCACTTGCGTCCAGATATGGGCGGATTGCTTTCGCCGCTTCGTATCCGCTCGGTCCACGAGTTCGTTCGTGAAAATCGAATTCTGTTTCGTGAAGCAGATGATGTTCCTCCACTTCACCTTCCTCATGACGTCGTAGTGGACTCCTACTCACATGATAGCGGTACCTCTCTGTCAACTCGACCTCGCCCGGTTTGGAGGCGCTAAGCAGGTTCACGATGTGGACAGCACCATACGTTCTCTCCAGGCTTGCGAAATGTTTGTCAAAGGCCGGCTGTGTAGCCTCTGGTGAGCGGGTAATCTGGATCTTTTGTTGGCCAGGTATCAGGCTGCTTGAGCTTTCCCAGAATATCGGTATGCTGCCGCGCACTTGAGTGTAGGAGAAGCAAAGGCCAGTGGGAGACCAGAAGACGGTCTCAGTCTCGACAAAGTTGGCAACGTTGCCGTCATCGTCAATGCCTCGAGAATTAAAACGTGTCCCGGCTCTTCTGGACGACAATCTAGAGATGATGGTTAAGGTTGTGGGTGGACCTGGCACCGTCCCCCGGATCGGAGATGAAGAAGGTGGTATCGGCAAACTTTTGACAAAGCCTCGAATCACAGAGGTAAGAAGGCGAGAGTGGTCGAGAGCATTTCGCTCGTGATCGGTAAGCCTGCTCCTGAATTTGATCAGCGGATCAATCATATAAGAGTTCCAGAGGAGGCCTTCGTCGAGACTGGAAATGTCTACGGTGTTTTCGGCCTCGGCACTGGAATCTGTCAGCTCTGTTCTCCTAAGCGACTAGTGATGACTTACCGGTCCTGTAGCCGTCGAGTAAGGTCAAAATCGGCACTATAGTAGAAATTGCCGTTGCTCAGGAGTTTCCTCAAGGCGTGGAATGGATGTTCCGAGGCGTCGTCGCCCTGAGTGTAGTCGACGTCGTCTGACTGAAAGATCTGTCCAGGATACGGGTTCGGATAAGGGCCATGCGCGTGGTCATAATCTGCACGGTTGAGACAGTCTCAACGCATATCAGCACGCTGGCTTTGTGGCAGGGTAAACCGACTCACAGAATTCGACAGCGAAGATCTTCTGGACCGTCTCGCCTGGCCTCACAGTAGCCACCTCTTCTGACCCTGTGATAACGCAAAGGAAGACGTCGTTGTTGAGGGTGATGAGACCTAAAGTTCCCCTCGCGGTAGTGACCGGATGAAAATGTTCGAGGTTGATGAGAGACTTGTCTCCGAACTCGACCATACATCGAGGCGTTGTATTTGATCGACTCGTGTTGCCCAGGGGGAGGCTGGTCGAGCTGGATATTGAGTTTCTACCACTCTCTGGTGCGGCATGGGAATGGCGAAACACCAGGACATGCTTATCCGTCGCAAGGGCGACTGTTCGATGGGGGTAGTCATGGATCAACACCCTGGTTGACATTGTGTCAAAGGTCACCGGATGGCGCGCACTTGGGCCCTCATCGCCAGGCTCATCAGCGGCGTCTATCTGCAGCCGAGCTTGAGCAGGTGTGAGTCCCTCAAGCGACAGACCATTGACTTATTGCGGAATACGGTCGCGTGCTGGAAGATTGAGTCCGGTGGATTTTATGAGGCTCCGCAGCGCACACAAGGCTGCTTCATATGATGATTGACATGAATCCCCTGTTA